AGGATGAGGAGGGGAACGGGTTCCAGGAGGAAGGGTATACCGTCTGCAAGGAGGGGGAGGTGTTGGACTCGAGGCAGACGAGGTTGCTGAAGCTCTTCAGTGTTTGCATGTCGGAGTTCAAGGTGCAACTGTTGGCGTGCTGGAAGGCGGCGGATGGGAGTGTGGAGGTTTTGGAGGGCGCGAAGGAGTATATTGAGAGGAAGAGGGAGGAGGCGAAGAATGGGGGGAAGAAGAAGAAGAGTGCCGGGACGGGGGATGTGGAGATGGGTGAGGAGGATGAGGAGGACAGCGAGTAAGGGGGTTGGTCAACTCACTGATGGGGAATGTTTTGTTTTTGTTTTTCTCATATAAGGGAAAGGTTTCGTGATGATACCAGAGCTTTTTACGTTTTTTACAACGAGGGCGATCGGTTTTTAGGACCTCTTTTTTTTTTTAGTTCTCTGTTTATGGGCGTTTGGGAAGAAAAATGGGAAATAATTTTCATCATTATGGCTGTACAACCCTCAACCAAAAGATATCGCGTCGATTCTTTGGCCACGTTTAGGTGATCCAAAACCTTGGGAAGGCCTTGGTCCAAGTCAGCCAGCATGTCGCAGCTAAGCATTGCGCCAAACACACAGCAGCAAGGGAGCCTATATGTCACTGGCGTGGGGGATGATGGGATGTTCCTGCCTCAACGGGTCGCAAAGGCTACCGGTGATCTGGGACCTCTCCACCATGTCACCAGCTTTGGCCTTGTCATCATCAACTCAAAACACCTTGAAGCTTATCACCTCTTCTGTGCTTACCTCAACATCCTTATCTACCTTAACTTGATGGTTCTGCTCACCTCCCGACTTTTAGCAGGCCATGTCAATACCCTCACAGCCAATCCAAATCACCAGAAAACGGCTGGTCATCTGTTGTGATGGCACCTGGATGAACAGCGACACCGGCTACAACAAACCATCCTACCGGAACCCCACCGGCAAAGCCGTCGTCCCCTCCAACGTCACCCTTCTCTCCCGGTCCCTGCGCCGGTCTTGCACAGACGGAACCCTCCAGGTCATCGAGTACCACTCGGGCACCGGCTCAAGCGGCAGCTTCGCCGATGTCTTGTCCGGTGGTGCTTTCAGCTTGGGTATCTCCGAGGTGTGTGTGTGTGTGTGTATATAGTCATGAAACGCCTGAAATAAGGTACGTACAGTACATACTGACACAGTGTTCCAAGAACATCCGCTCCTCCTACTCCTTCATATGCGCCAACTACACCGACGGCGACGAGATCATCCTCGTGGGCTTCTCCAGGGGGGCTTTCACCGCGAGGTCGGTCGCGGGGATGATCTCGGACGTGGGCTTGCTTACCCGCGAGGGGATGGAGCATTTTTATCCTGTTTGCAAGGATAGGCAGCACTGGAGGGATGAAGAGTATAAAGATCCTTTTCCGAATGCGCCGTTTGGTGGTAAGCCGAGGGGGGAGGGTGCTCCGCGGAGATATCGGGAGATGCTGGTCGAGGTACGGCTAGCAGTATACCTGCTGTTTGGTGCTGCACGTCCGGTGCTGATAAGTTACGATTTTCAGAGAGGTCTTACACGCGTTCGCCAGGATCAGGAAAAGGGGCCGTTGATCAAGGTTAGGGCTGTTGGTACGTATGTCTTCAGAGACCGAAGAACAAACAGTGTTTGGTGTAAACTGGCTGTATACCCTACTGACCTTGGCCCAGCTGTGTAGGACACTGTTGGGTGTCTGGGCATCCCCAGCACCACCCTTTTTGCCAAACTCGGACTGCCACATTCGACTAGCGAGTTTCGTTTCTTTGATACTGGCTTATCAGACCGTATCGAGTACGCCTTTCACGCTCTTGCTCTCGACGAACACAGGCCGTCGTTCTCTCCGGCGGTGTGGGAACGCACGGCTGATAACCTGGATGCCACTGATTTACGCCAGGTCTGGTTTCCCGGAAATCACGGAAACATCGGGGGTGGGTGGAAGGACGCCGGCATTTCTGACATGTCTCTGGCTTGTGAGTAGCAGGTTCCCTGGGGAGTATCAAAGCAGTCTGGCTAATTTACACCAGGGATGATGGATCAGTTGGCATCGATTGGCGTCGAGTTTGACGAGGCGGTCATCATGCGCCTTTTCGAAAAGCTCGAACACTCTTACCGCGACATGGCCGAGAAAGACCCCAAGTGTTCACACGCACGCAAGGGCCGCTCCTCTAATCCAAGCGAGCCCTTGATCGACGTCGAGCCACCGCCGGTAGAGTCCAGCATCCTCCCAGAGTGGCTGCGGTTCCGCCTCCCGAGCCTTCCAACAGCAGCTGATATTGGGAAGAAGATCATTGGGGAGAAGCACTGGGCGATTGAGCCCATCTGCGAGAGGAATATTCCCCTCCGACCCTGGGCGCTGGGTGCGATTCGCGGCTCGAGGGCGGCCGGATCCAACATTATTCGCTCACCGTGCGCCTACAAGAAGAGGGATCCGAGAACGGGGAAGGAAACGAGCGAGTTTCTGGAGGATACCAATGAGCGTGTGCACAGCTCTGTGCGGGTCCGGCTTGCGCTGCAGGGGCTCGGGCTGAATGACAGAGATGTCTGGGTGGCTCCGGCGTTAAAGGGGAGGTGGGCTGTGCGAAAGACCACGAGGGAGTTTGTCGATCCGATTCCTAAGGCTGTGGCTTCGTGGGAGAGGCCGCCGTCGGCTGCTGCTGCTGCTGCTGCTCCTGCATCAGCTACTGCGACGACGACGACATCCTGGAAGAGGAAGCTGGGGATGTTTAACATCAAGAATGCTGTCAAAAACCGGAATAATGATGATGATGAGTCGTTGGCTGCGACGTTGGTGGACGCGGCGGTTGAGCAGCAGCGCCCGTTGCAGGCGATGGATAACAAGGGGTACAGATGGGTGTGGGAGTATTGCGGAAAAGACAAGGATGCGCCGCCGCAGAGGGTGATGGTGGAGGAGCCGCTGGGACCGTTTGAGAGGCAGCTGTTGAGGTTGTCAGGGGGTGTGCCGAATGTGTATGAATTTGCTGAGACGGTGGAGGGGATGGATGGGAGGAAGGTGTAATTTGTGGGGCGGCGGCGAGTGCCAAGCAAGGTGAAAGGGGTGTGTGTGTGTGGTTGCTAGGGTGAAGAAAAGGGGGAATGTCAACAAACACCCAAAGGAAACAAAAAACAAAGTAGAATGTCAATGAGTGTGAAGCATGTTATGAATCTAAGTGAAGTATGTCTATTTGCTATCCATGTTCGCTGTGCTCTCTGCTTGTAAAACGGATCGCTCAACCGCCGGTTTGGTTCATCCCATGCGTGCCTCAGGAGAGACAAGAAGTTTAGATAGTCCCCTCAGAGGTGTGAATAACCCCCCCTATACTGTCTTTGACCCCCATACAACGGCCCTGCTCTATTCACGAGGGAGCATCTTGGCTTTGTGCCCTTATCGGTACCAGTGTGCAGTTTCTGGCCGCTTTGATCGAGCAAAACGGACTGCTTCGGCTGCCTCTGCTTCGGCTACCTCGAGCTCTTCTTCGGCTGCCTCGAGCCTTGCTTTGGCCGCCTCGAGCCCTACTTCGGCCGCTCCGAACTTTACTTGGGCTATGTTAAGTCCTGATTCGGCCACCTAGAGCTCTGTTTTAGCTGCCTCGGACCTTTCTTCGGCCATCTCGAGCTTAAATGCGGCTACCTCGAGCCCTACTTCGGCTGCCTCGAGCTTTATCACGGCCGCCTCGAGCTCTGCCTCGGTTACCTCGATCCTTGCTCCGGCTACCTCGAGCTCTACCTTGGCCACCTCGATCCTTGCTCCGGCTATCTGGAGCCCTACCTCGGCCACCTCGATCCATGCTCCGGCTGCCTCGAGCTTGAATTCGGCTGTCTTAAACTTTGCTTCGGCTGCCTCGAGGTCTGCTTCGGCTGCCTCGAGCCTTGCTTCGGCTGCCTCAAGCCCTGCTTCGGCTGCCTCGAGCTCTGCTTCGGTGACTGGTGGGAGTGGCTGGAGGAAATCGTTCTCTCTATGGAGAGGAGCGGAGGGTGGAAGGGGGTGCTTGAATCCTACGAGGTCGGGATGGTCTTGACTGGTCGTCGTGAGAGGGCCGGGCTTCTGTGCTTCGGTCTTGCGAGGCTGGGGTGGTGTTGACTGTTGGTCAGAGGGTTCTTCTGCAAGATGGGTTTCGCCTTGTGTTGGGCTCGATGGGGGGGTCGGTGATGGGGTCGGTGATGGGGTCGGTGATGGGTTTGATGGTAGGCTCGATCGAGTAGCGGGGCGAGATTCCGGGTTTTCGGCTCTGTCCCTTCTCATTCGAGACCATCTGGAAGGAAGATCTTTGCGGTAGCGAAGTACACGGTTCACAAAATCACTGACAGATTCCCGATCGTCATATTTGGAGGGCTTGGGCCTGGGGTTGACCATGATGGTGGTAGGTGTGCTGTTGGGATGACTGTCGATGATGCTTCTGATGGATTATACGTGAGACTGGTTGTATTGGGAGGGGTGGTGATTAAAGTGATGGGACTGGCAGAAGATGCTGTGAGTACTTGTTCAAGTTTCGGGGTGGTGGCATCGAGGTTTGCAATGGCCACATGTGAACTTTACGGCACCGACCTTCTTTCCGAAAGCTTTCATGACGGGCAAGAGGGAATGGGAAAGTAGGAATCAAGCACCCTCCTGTCTTTCCTTCTGGTATCAATAGTGGCACGCTCTTGCCAGGAGTTCGGGTACTGAAGCTGAGTCGGTAGGTAGCAAATCAAGACATCATGATCGAGACCTTACATGTTGATATCAACATACCTAACTCACCTCGCCTCTTCAACGGAACCAGCTGAGTTCCTCAAATTGCCAACAGCAACGGCCCTCGTCCTCGGTCACATGATGCCATCCCCATAATCACCGGCGACGTGATTTAAGCTTCACGAGACTCCAGTCTAAGTAACGCCACCAGCAACGCCACCTCGTCATCGCACTCAACAGAGACCACCCCAGCACCAGACCACACTATTTAGTTTGAATTCCAAAGCAGCACATTCGTGGCGTGCGTAGTATAGCGGTATTACATTCTCTTATCAAAGCGAAGGACTTGGGTTCGAATCCCAACCACTCACCACACAGCGTTTGTGATTTTCAGCGTTTGCGTTTTTTTTCTTCTTTTTTGCACATTTTAGAATGTTCGATGGACAAAGTCAGTTGGCACTTCTTTTTCTTTTTTAAGGTATCTTCTTTTTAATTACTTTCCATGTCAAATTATTAGTCCATGGCTTGCCTTTTCTTTTGCTCGCGGGATCACCAACGATGGTAGCGGTGGTTGGCACGCATGAGGTCCCAACAGAGATCACCTTTTCTGAAATTCCCCATCCACATGACACTATTATCATTATTATTATTATTATTTTCATACTTGTTATCGTCATTCTTTCACCATTAATTTTGTTTTATGATTAGTATTTGTTAGATAATCACCATCATAAGCACCATCATGATCACCGTCATAATCATCATCATTATTATCAGCATCCCAGTAATCATCATTATAGATCACAATTTTTATCATTATTCCACGCTGTTAATATATGTCAGTCCTTTTGTTGCAGCGTGGGGGTTAGGTCACATTACACATAGGTATGTTGGGAGAGATTAGCCGGTTTTTTCCCTATTTGGTTTTTCCCACATTATCATCATGATAGGTAATTATTATCATTATGATTAATATTTATAGCCATCTTAAACGGAGCGGAGGCAAGCTGCAAGATAGAGTAGACAATGATACCAACCCAGGTTTTAGTTGGTAGATGATCTCAGCAGGCCCGCCGTGATTCTCTCGCCGCGAAGGGACCCGGACAATGCCCCCTTGTGCAAGTTAAATGAAAGAAAGAGGGACGGAGAGGGGCCTGGGACTGTTGGTCGAAACTGGTCGGGAGAAATCAATTCTTGGACTTGCTGGTGAAACTATCTCTTGGTCCCTGAGCAAGGTAACCAGCACCACCCCTAGTGCAGCCAGAAAGATGTGTGTATGCATGCAAATCTAATAGAAATGTGAACGGGCGGGTGGATATTGCGAGTAAGTGGGTGTTGGATAAGGTTGACTTTATGTATATCCATTCAAAGATACCGTACTTCTACACAACTATATCCACTTACATGTATAGAGCATGATTACTTTCAGAAGATAGAATGGAAACTTTGAAAGCGTCCCTCTTGGGCTTACACCTGAAGATTGAGGGCATATGTACATAAGGTAGCTTCTTGCCATACGCCTGTGCTCGCCATGACAACAATGAGGAGTCAGAAACTGAGAGAAGCCAGCACGGAGAGAATAATTGACTGGATTGGATTGGGTAACATCGGACCTCCCAGCCTACCCGCGACCCAAGTACCCATCCTCAAACGCTGCGCCATTGTTAGCATTTCTTCATCATTGACCCAGAGAGCAAAAGACTCACCACCCGGAATTCCAGCCGCAGCGTACATGACCAGCGAGATCGGCTTTAAATCTTCGTCCGTAGAATCCTCCAAGTATTGCTGCCAAAACTCCAACACCCCCTTTACGCTCTCCTTTAGCTCCCCATCCGCACCGCACCCGTAACACCTCAACCCCAAACAGGCTCCAAACTCCCTAAAGGCCAATCTCCTATTCGCCTCCCTGCTCGCAATCCCCCTCTTCCCATCCAGTAGTATCTTCCCCACCTCCAAACTCTGACTCCCCAACGTCCTAGCCCAATCCTCATCACGGAAGAAATGGCATATCCACAACCCCATCCCCAGGTCCAAGCAGTCATTACTCACCCTCATTTTCCCCTCCCTCCCCATCAGCAGCCTGTAATCCGCAATTTCCGGGACCAAGTCCCCCGGTGGTCCATGCATGTACTCTGCAGTCCTCTGCAGAAGCCTATAAACGACAAACCCCGTCGCGGCGTCCAGATGTCCCTCTGTGGGAACCAACACTCGGGATAAATCAGTAGACATCTTCCACACCATTCTCTCGGCATGGTGGTTGCTTTTGTTTCTAACAATAAACCTGTTATGCACCGCCTTGGCCAGCTGGACAGCCAGTAAGCTCCACTGTTTCTCTCCCGTCGCCAAGGCCAGCCTGTTGAGGGCAAACATCCATAATGTGAGGTAATGGTGATACTGCCCGTCGCCGTCTCTGGGGTCTTCTGCCTCGGAGTGGAGCTTCCCTATGCGGAGACCACCTTTCAGAGGTTCGGCATCTGTAGCACCGGGGAGACGGGAGGTTTGATCACGGGTCTTGCCTAATGTGTCGTGGACGGTGGTGACGAGTCTTTTGGCGAGGGTTAGATAAGGGGGGCAGGAGAGCTCTTTGGATAAGGTGATGAAGTTGATGACACCAAAGGCGTCTGTCCAGAGGTACCGGCCTAGGTGACCGCCTGCGCCGGGGGAGGAAGGGGGTGTCCAGGAGGAGGCGAAGGCTTCTGGATCCGGGGAGGAGAGGAAGTTGTCAAAGGGGCCGTAGACTATGGAAAGGGCTTCTTTGAAGCGGCGGATGCGCTCGTTGGGGGTTGGGATGGGCATTGTCATGGTGGGCCTGGATTTACTGAAACGATACTGGGAGATATGATGCCTGAGAATGAGGGGATGGCGTTTGACACTGATTTTGGTGGTGATAGATTGAGAGATGTAAGGAAACCGATTCATTTACTGGGAGTTCTAGGTAGAGGGAACACAACGTCACAGTTTCTCTTGCCCAGAAAAAGTGTCTCGGAGAGGTCGGTTCAGACTGGAGTGATCATCCTGATGAAGATGAACTGGTGCTTTGGGAGGGCTGGTTGCTGCGAGGATAGGGCCATTTTGCAGCCATCTCGGCGGAAGCCACAGCATCGTGAACGTCAATGGAGTCTGAGAGGTCTGCTTGAGCGCTTGGGTCGGACCCCCACGGGCCACATGTCGTCACTCAACTGTCGTTGTTGTTGAAGGAAGCGTTGACCCAAGCTCAAAGAGTGCCAAGAGAAAGCCAAGATGGAGCCAAGTTTAGGGATGACGCCAGTCTTTATTTGTGTTAGTGCTAATAGTGGAGGTCTCATTGGTCAGCCGTTGCCCCACTTACCGGGTGCTACCCCGCGCCCCGCACAGGATTGCCTGAACATTCGAGGGGCTTCTGGAGCCAGGATTCTTGAAGGCAGGCTCAGGCAGGCTCTCGCAGGCTCTCGCAGGCTCTCACGCACTTTGGCAGGCTCTGGTAGCTTCCTGTGCCATCATCCCACATCTCGCTGCTTCGCCCTCGGGCACCAAGCTTATTGCAGTCTCTCCACTCGCTGCCCAAGATAAATTCTTCGCCTGTGTTTCACTCTCTCTTCTTTGTTTCCCTCATTTTACGGAACCAAACAAACAACAACCATTGACAACGATACCCATTCTTCTGCTGTCTACTATTTGACAAGCAACAAACTATTTGGAGCCTGACGTCACACCCTCAAGCTTCACTACATCGTACCATCACAACGAAATTATTCTACCTTCATATAAGACCACCAAACGAACAACTACCACCCACTCAGTTCCCGAGACACTCAGTCTCGCAAGCTAATTCATCATGAACTCAAAAATGGAGTTTACCGACCGAGCCAAGAAGGCGTTGGAGGACGCCATGGTCCTCGCCGAACAGTATGCACACTCACAGCTGCTGCCAGTACACTTGGCAGTCGCCCTCCTCGATCCCCTCCCCGACCAGAGCAAAGATCTCCAGAACGCACCACCAGGAACGACACAAACCCTCCTACGACAAGTCGTTGAGCGCGCTCATGGCGATCCCCAGCTCTTCGACCGCGCTCTAAAGAAGATGCTCGTCCGCCTGCCAAGCCAGGACCCTCCACCAGAGTCGGTCTCGATGGCACCCTCCTTCAACAATTGCCTTCGCAAGGCCATGGAGCTGCAGAAGGTGCAGAAGGATACCTACATTGCAGTCGACCATCTTATCCAGGCCCTCTCGGAAGACACGTCCATTCAGGGCGCCCTCAAGGAGGCCAACATCCCCAAGCCAAAACTGATCCAGGAGGCCGTTCAGCAAATCCGCGGCACCAAGCGTGTCGACTCTCGCAATGCCGACACTGAGCAGGAAAACGAGAACCTCGCCAAGTTCACCATCGACATGACCGCCATGGCCAGAGAGGGCAAGATCGACCCTGTTATTGGTCGTGAGGAAGAGATCCGCCGCGTCGTCCGCATTCTTTCTCGGCGCACAAAGAACAACCCGGTTCTCATCGGTGAGCCTGGTGTGGGTAAGACGACCGTCGTCGAAGGTCTTGCCCAGCGGATTGTCAACAATGATGTTCCAGACAACCTTGCGGCCTGCAAGCTGCTCTCTCTGGATGTTGGTGCGCTGGTCGCTGGCAGCAAGTACAGAGGCGAGTTCGAGGAGCGTATGAAGGGTGTCCTGAAGGAGATTCAGGAGTCCAAGGAGACGATTGTTCTATTTGTCGATGAAATCCACCTCCTCATGGGTGCTGGTTCATCTGGCGAGGGTGGCATGGATGCCGCCAATTTGCTCAAGCCCATGCTTGCCAGAGGTCAACTACACTGTATCGGTGCCACCACCCTGGCCGAGTATCGCAAGTACATTGAGAAGGACGCCGCTTTCGAGCGTCGTTTCCAGCAAGTCCTCGTCAAGGAGCCGTCCATCCCCGAGACCATTTCCATTCTCCGTGGTCTGAAGGAGAAGTACGAGGTCCACCACGGTGTCAACATTGCCGATGCCGCCATTGTGGCCTCCGCAAACCTGGCTGCTCGGTACCTCACATCTCGAAGACTGCCCGATTCGGCCGTTGATCTGATCGACGAGGCTGCCGCTGCAGTTCGTGTGGCCCGCGAGTCTCAACCGGAAATCATCGATTCCCTTGAGCGCCGGCTGCGCCAGCTCAAGATTGAAATCCACGCCTTGACTCGTGAGAAGGACGAGGCTTCTAAGACTCGTCTCGCCCAGGCCCGCCAGGATGCCGAGAACGTTGAGGAGGAGTTGAGACCACTTCGTGAGAAGTATGAAAGAGAGCGCCAGCGCGGCAAAGATATCCAGGAGGCTAAGCTGAAGTTGGAGGCTCTTCGTGTCAAGGCCGAGGATGCCAGCAGATTGGGAGACCACAGCCGTGCTGCCGATCT